ATTCCCTGGATTATGCAAAGAAAAATGAACCCAAACATAGACTTGCAAGACATGGCCTGTATGAGAAGAAAAAGACCTCAAGAAAGCAACGAAAGGAACGCAAGAACAGAATGAAGAAAGTCAGGGGGACTGCAAAGGCCAATGTTAGCGCTGGCAAAAAGTGAGCTGGAGATTGGATCACAGCCGAAGGAGTAAAGGTGCTGCAATGATGTTATCTATGGCCGTTGGGGATTTTTCACGAGAAGCTTAATAAACTAAAAACTTTCGTGTGAAAAAAAAAAAAAATTAGCTGGGCACGGTGGCATGCCCCTGTAGTTCTAGCTACTCAGGAGGCTGAGGCTGGAGAATCGCTTGAACCCAGGAAGCGGAGGTTGTAGTAAGCCAAGATTGTGCCACTGCACTTCAGCCTGGGAGACAGAGTGAGACTCAACTCAAAAAGAAAAGAAAAGAAAAACTCAGAACCCAAAGGTCAACCTGCAACTATAGAGCTCCTAAGTTCTCTTTTCTTTTTCTTTTTTTGGAAACAGGGTCTCAATCTGTCACCCAGGCTGCAGTGCAGTGGTGCCATCTTGGCTCACCGCAACTTCCACTTCCCAGGCTCTGGGAATGCTCCCACCTCAGCTTCCAAAGTAGATAAGCATGAACCACCATATCTGGCTAATTTTTGTGGGTTTTTTTTTTAGTGACGGGGTTTCACCATGTTGCCAAGGCTGGGCTCAAAGGAGCCGCCCACCTAAGCCTCCCAAAGTGCTGTGATTATAGGCATGAGCCACCTCGCCTATTTCTCTATTTTCTTTATTGCCTGCTTTCAGTCTGCTGTTGTTTTTCTACTGATGTCGGGATTAAAAACACTGTTTGGATCCAACATTTTTTTGTAAGCTGGCAAGTTTGTATTTACATCTCAAGGATAGAGTTCTGAAGCAAAAGTTATAGTAACTTTGTATGTGTTATGTGTGTGTATGTATACGTACATGTATGTTATGTGTTGTGGCCACAAGGTTCCAAACTGTCTTACCAATAAAGGAGTACTTGTAAATTAAGTGAATAAGCTCCAATGTTTTTCAAGTTCACAAGACATAAGTAAATTTTTAACAAATACACTAGCTTTACAATTATTAAATACAATTTAAAATGTCTTCAGAATTGTCAGCATACATTTTTGTCTGAATTTGTTGATCAAGCGATTTTATATTTATCTCTGCTAGACATTTTATGATGTCAAGGTTTGGCATGAAGATTATAAAACTATAAGCCCAGCCCCAAACTGAATAATCTTTGTGTAGTATTATTATTATTTTGCTTTTGAAACAGGATCTCATTCTGTCACTCAGGCTGCAGTGCAGTGGCATGATCATGGCTCACAGTAGCCTTGACCTCCTGAGCTCAAGCAATCGTCTCACCTCAGCCTCCTGAGTACCTAGGACTACAGGCATGTGCCACCATTCCAGGCTAATATTTCAATTTTTTTTTCTTTTTTTTTTTTTTTGAGACATAGTCTCTCTCTCTCTCTGTCACCCAGGCTGGAGTGCAGTGTGTGATCTCAGCTCATGCCAACCTCTGCCTCCAGGTTCAAGTGATTCTCATGCCTCAGCCTCCTGAGTAGCTGGGATTACACAAGTGCATCAACACGCTTGACTAATTTTTGTATTTTTAATAGAGACGAGATTTCACCACATTACCCAGGCTGGTCTCATGTGATCTACCCACCTCAGACTCCCAAAGGGCTGGGATTACAGGTGTGAGCCACCGCACCCAGTCTAATTTTTTAATTTTTTTTTGTGGAGATGTGGTCTCACTATGTTAACCAGACTGATTCCGAAATCCTGGGCTCAAGCAATCCTCCTGCTTTTGTCTCCCAAAGTGTTGGGATTGCAGACATGAGTCACTATACCTGGCTATTTGTGTAATTTTTGAGAACTAAGCCATGTAATATTGTTAATTTTATGAAAACAGCTAAATTCTGAGTTATCAGGCAAAAAAAAAAAATTATTTAATGTGAAAGTTTTTTTGGTGTTTTTTTTTTTTTCCAGGGACCCAGGCCCCAGAGCTCCCGAGGCCTAGAGCCCCCAACCTTAAAGTTCTTACCTAAGTAAACAACAGATATTCACAGTCTATACAAATAGTTAACAGGGAAATAATTTTAAATAACTAGCTTTGTCTAATATCATAGTTTGTATAAATAATGTAAGTAAACTACAGAAAAACAAAAATATGGCAGGGTGCAGTGGCTCACGCCTGTAATCCCAGCACTTTAGGAGGCCAAAGCGGGCGGATCATTTGATGTCAGGAGTTCAAGACCAGCCTGACCAACACAGTGAAACCCTGTCTTTACTAAAAATACAAAAAAGAATTAGCTGGGTATGGTGGCGCATGCCTGTAGTCCCAGATACTTGGGAGGTTGAGGCGGGAGATCGCTTGAACCCAGGAGGCAAAGGTTGCGGTGAGCCGAGATCGTGCCACTGCACTGCACTCCAGCTTGGATGACAAAGCAAGGCTGTCTCAAAAAAAAAAGGAAAGAAAGAAAGAAAAATAATACATTAGGTAAACATAATGGAATACATACTTATAAAAAAAGAAATGGTATGATGATTACTCAAAAAATTAAACATAAATTTACCATATGATCCATCAATTCCACTTCCGGGCATATACTCAAGAAGTGAAAGGACGGGCTCAAAAAGTTATTTCTACACTCATGTTCAACAGAGTTGCAGTTGGGGTAGATGAAAACATTCTGGAGATAAATGGTAGTGATGGCTACACAATGTGAACGTATTTAACTGTACAGATCTGTGGTATTAAAAATGATTAAAATGGTAAATTTTATGTTATTTATAGCTTACCACAATCTTTTTAAAGTAAGTACAGAAAAAGAAGGAATTGTTCTGTGAATCTGTGCAGCAATCACTTAGAAAATATGGAAATTGGCTGGGCGTGATGACTCACACATGTAATCCCAGTACTTTGGGGAGGCTGAGGCAATTGGATCACGAGGTCAGAAGTTCGAGACCAGCCTGGCCAAGATGGTGAAGCTGCGTCTCTACTAAAAACTACAAAAATTAGCTGAGTGTGGTAGCAGGTGCCTGTAATCCCAGCTACTCAGGAGGCTGAGCCAGGAGAATAGCTTGACCTCAGGCAGCAGAGGTTACAGTGAGCCGAGATAGTGCCACTGCACTCCAGCCTGGGTGACAGAGTGAGACTCTGTCTCAAAAAATAAAAATAAAAATAAGGCTGGGTGTAGTGGCTCACACCTGCCATCCCAATACTTTGGGAGGCTGAGGAGGACAGATCACTTGAGCCCAGGAGTTCAAGACCAGCCTAGGAAATATGGTGAAACCCCATCTCTGCCAAAAATACAAAAAATCAGCCAGGTGTGGTGGCACGTGTCTGTAGTCCCAGCTACTCAGGAGGCTGAGATGGGAGAATTGCTTCAGCCTGGGAGGCAGAAGCTGCAGTGATCCGAGATCACACCACCGCATGCCAGCCTGCGCTACAGGGAGAGACCCTATCTCAAAAAAAATAAACAAATAAGGAGGTGGCTCACGCCTGTAACTCCAGCACTTTGGGAGGCCAAGGCAGGTAGATCACTTGAGGTCAGGAGTTCGAGACCGGCCTGGCCAACATAGTGAAACCCCATCTCTACTAAAAATACAAAAAATTATCCGATACTGGTTGCAGGCACTTGTAATCCCAGCTACTCAAAAGACTGAGGCAGGAGGATCACTTGAAGCCGGGAGGTGGAGGATGCAGTTAGCCAAGGTCATGTCACTGCACTCCAGTGTGGGCAATAAGAGTGAAACTCCATCTCTAAATAAATAAATAATGTTGCTCAGGATGTACAGAAATTAGCCCAGGTGCAGTGGCTCACATCTGTAATCCCAGCACATGGGAGGCCGAGGCAGGTGGATAAGTTGAGGTAAGGAGTTCAAGACCAGCCTGACCAACATGGTAAAACCCTATCTCTACTTAAAATACAAAAAATTAGGCCGGGCGCAGTGGCTCATGCCTGTGATCCCAGCACTTTGGGAGGCTGAGGCAGGCAGATCACAAGGTCAGGAAATTGAGACCACCCTGGCTAACACAATGAAACCCCATCTCTACTAAAAATACAAAAAATTAGCCAGGTATGATGGCACGAACCTGTAATCTTGGCTACTCGGGAGGCTGAGGCAGGAGAATTGCTTGAACCAGGGAGCTGGAGGTTGCAGTGAGCCTACACTGTGCCACTGCACTCCAGCCTGGCTATAGAGTGAGACTCCGTCTCCCAAAACAATATGTATATATACACAGAAAATTAGCCAGGCACCCAGGCACAGTAGCTCACGCCTATCCCAAGCACTTTGGGAGGCTGAGGAGGGCAGATCACCTGAGGTCAGGAGTTCAAGACCAGCAGGACCAACATGAAGAAACCCCATCTCTACTAAAAATACAAAATTAGTCAGGCACGGTGGTGCATGCCTGTAATTAATCCCAGCTACTCGAGAGGCTGAGGCAGGAGAATTGCTTGAACTCGGGAGGTAGAGTTCGTGGTGAGCCTCTCGGCTCTTGCCTTGCGCCACTGCACTCCAAACTGAGCAACAAGAGTAAAACTCCATCTCAAAAAAAAAGGGAAGAAACCCATCTCTACCAAAAATACAAAAGTTAGCCTGGCATGGTGGCATGCACCTGTAGTCCCAGCTACTGAGGAGGCTGAGGAAGGGGAGTTGTTTAAACCTGGGAGGCGGAGGCTGCAGTGAGCTGAGATCGCGCCACTGCACTCCAGGCTGGGCTACAGAATGAGACTCTCAGAAAAAATAAAATAAAAAGATGAAATTAGAACCCTCCACACTGCTGGTGGGAGTGTAATATGGTACAGCCAGGGTTGAAAACAATTTGGCAGTTCCTTCAAAAATAAAAGGTAAAAGATATTACTGTATGACCCAGGTACATACCCAAAAAAACTAAAAAATTAGGCTGGG